CTCTTCCCTGCCCATGCCACCTCATGGGACATGCTCTTCCTTGCTCACAAGTTAGGGTCTGGCTCAACCACTCCTTTGCCAACAGTGTTAGCTCTAATGTCACACAGAGTTTTTAAGAGGCATCAGATCCTCTGGAGCTGATACACTGAAAACCTGTACCTAAGTACTGAAAACCAAAGCTAAGACCTCTATAATAGGAACAAATTCTCTTAACTATCAAGCCATCTCTCCATACAGAGCAACCTTTACACTCTTGATTCTTGTTGAAAATACACAAAATTTTGGGCATATACATATTACAACCAAATGATGCAAAAACAGGCAGTAGAATTCATTGTTTTCTAATCAAAGTTGACCAATTCCTACAGCCAGTAGGACTATAAGTATTGGATCACAATTTTTAGGACAAACAGGATCTGCTGAAAATAATAAAAGAACATATTTTTTTAAAGGATTCATGTTCAAATACAGGACTTCAAATGTTATTTTAAAAAGTGAAACTAAATCTAAGAGATTGTACCTTATGACTTTATGTTCCCTCATTAAGTAAGATTCAAAATAGCCCACAGTGCAGTTAACTGAGATAGGAAATATTAAATGATAGTTGTTTTAACAAAATGAAGTCTATGAATAATATTACAAGATGATGCTATTTGGAGTCTCATTTCCTTTTGTGATTGAAAACTAAAAGAATAGTATTTGGTCATATCCACAACAATCTATGAAATCTTGATATATATTCGTATCTGCTCTTTTCTGAAATTCAACTATCTTCCTACTTCTCAATACTGAAATCTACTGAACAAAATAATAGAACAAATGAAATTATTAGTCACAAATATCAGTTACAATAATTTAATTATTAAAGCCAGTCTTTGCTACTGTTTCCCATGAAATCAACTAAACAAAAGAAAAATACTAAAACTAAATAATAATACATGATTTTGAATGCCCTAAACATCTACTATTTCATAAAATATAAATAACTATACAAAATGGGAAGACTATAGTAAGTTTGGCTAAGAAGTGTGGTGTAACACAGCATGATAATTTTGATTGGTTAGGGTGTTTGCTTCTTCAACCAGCCATTTTTACTCCTTTATTCCTCACAAATTCCTTGTTTTTATGACCCAGAGAGGGTTTTCCTGTATTCTCTTCTCCCACTACCTCCCCAGACTGTTCCCACCCACCAATCCACTCCTGCTCCTTTTCTATTTCAGGACAGGGCTAGTTTTTCATCATTTTCAACAAAACATAGCATACCAAGTTGCAGTAAGACTAAGCACCTCTCCAAATATTAAGCCTGAACTAGGTGACCCAGTATGAATTGTAGGGTCCCAAAACCCAGTAAAAGAGACAGTCCCTGCTCCCTCTGTTAGGAGTCCCACAAGAGGACCAAGCTACTCATCTGTAACACATATGCAGAGTGCCTAATCAGTCCCATGCAGGCTCCCTGGTTGTCGGTTCAGTCTTGGTGAGCCAGTATGAGCCCAGGTTAGTTGATTCTGTGGATTTACTTGTGGTGCTCTTCACCCCTCTGGCTCCTACAATCTTTTCTTCCCTCTTCTGCAGGATTCCCCAAGCTGCACCTGATGCTTGGCTGTGGATTTGCATCTGTCTCCATCAGTTGCTGTATGACACTTCTCTGATGACAATTGGACTAGGCACCAATCTATGAGTATAGCAGAATATCATTAGGAATGAGTATATTGACATTTCTTTTTCTTCCAGTTCTGCCGGTTCTTTCTTAGGTCTCTGGGTCATCCTGCCTGTGGTTCCTGGTACTCTTGGCAGTGTCAGGTGTGAACTTACTCTCCTGGCATGGGTTTTAGGCTAGACTAGTCTTTGGTTGGCCACTCCTTCAATCTCTAGGCCACCCTTAACCCAACACATCCCATAGGCAGGTCAGTCTGTAGGTCAAAGATTATGTATGTGTGTTGGTGTCCCAATTATGTGCCCTGCGTGTAAATTATTAGTTTGATTCTTTTATTTGGAATCATTTTCAGCATACTAGATATTCATTTTTTATTCCATTTTTACTTATATGGGATTAATTTTAAATACTGGCTGTTTATAAACAAACATACACATTAGGTGCATAATTTTGAGTTCTATCATTTAATTTTTAAAACCTTTGTAATTACAGAGTGCACTGGGTAGTTTTGTTTGTCAACTTGACACAAGCTAGAATCATGAGAGGAAGGAGCCTCAGTTGAGGAAATACCTTGACGAGATCCAGCTGTAAGGCATTTTCTCTTTTAGTGATCAGTGGGGAGGGCCCAGCCCATAGTGGGTGGTGCCATCCCTGGGCTGCTGGCCTGGATTCTGTAAGAAGATTGGCTAAACAAGCCTTGAAGTGAAAGCCAGTAAGCAGCTCTCCTCCCTGGCCTCTTTATCAGCTCTTGCCTCCAGGATCCTGCCCTGTTTGAGTTCCTGTCCTGACTTCCTTCAGTGATGAACAGCAATGCTGAAGTGTAAGCCTAATAAACTCTCTCCCCCACAAGTTTTGTTTTTTGGGGTTTCTGTTTGTTTGTTTGTTCAGTTTTTTTTTTTGTCACAGTGTTTTGTCACAGCAATAGAAAACCTGACTAAGACACAAAGGCAAGAGAAGAGATTTCTACACTATCTGTAATACCATGTGCATAATCTTAAATGATCATGTGATCTTCCCATAATGCACTATCAAATAGCAATTAGTTTTAGTTTCTCAACTAAATATGTGGTTTTTTAACTATTCCATGAAAATTTAAAATCCTGGTAGATCTGGACATCAGAATATGTATGATAAGCATTGTAAGAAGATCGATCTTGGCATAATGTCTTCACTTTGTGAAGAATGTGAAGCCTCAGAAGATGTACAGGTACTTCATATCAAAACACCTTTAAGGGTTTGTCTACTTCCAAATACATCCTCCTGAGAACATTGAAAGTCAGCAACAATGGCAGATCAGTAAAGATCATAACAACCAGGCTGTTCATATGGAAAGAGAGGTTAAGCTTAACAAGTCAAGAAATTACTAAGAGCAAGGACCAGGTTAGGATTTTGGGTGAATGGAAAATCATTGACCAATAAGAAATTTGGTCTAGAAAAATTTCAGAGCAATCTGATAATACTTGGGAAATGGTGAAGGATGAAAATGTTGCTATTATATCCATTACAGGGGAGTTTGGCTAGGTCAAGTTGCCAGGATGCTTACTAAAAGTATGATTTCTAAGAAAGTGTATGGGGAGATGACATTGCACCTTTGTTAAAGCTCTTGCCTAGCATACACAAAGATTTGAGTTTCACCCTTAGCATCACAGAAACAGGAGAGATGGTGCACACTAGTGACTGCAACATTTCAGTAGACAAGGGCAGAAGAATGTGAAGCTTAAGGTCATCAACAGCATTTTTCAAGCTGAAGGTAATACATACTCTGTGCCATTGTAGCTATTGTATGTTGTAAATATCTAATCTGCTTTTGATTTTACAGGAGTTTACATTTAAGTTATTGCCTTGAGTCCTGGAAGAGACTATGGGAATTTAAACAATATTGATTCTTTGAAATATTACAAAGACCTTTTTATGTTTGTTTGTTTGTTTTTTGTTGTTCTTGTTGTTTTTGAGACAGGGTTTCTCTATGTAGTCCTGGCTCTCCTGGAATTTGCTCTGTGAACTAGGTTAGCCTCGAATTCATAGATCTGCCTGCCTCTGCCTGGGATTAAAGACATATGCCACCACAGCCCTGCTTAAGCGGACTTTTGAAGTTGGATTAAACACATTTTATAGGTGGCTTGAATGACATGCCTCTATTAATTTCAAGTATTCAAACACTTGACTCTGAGTTGGTGACTGTTTGGGGAAGATTAAGGGATGTGACATTGCTGGACGAAGAATATCACTGGGGATAGGCTCTGAGTGCTCAAAAAAGCTCATGGTATTTCAAGTTCGCTCTCTCCTCTTGGGGTTTCTGGTTTGAGGTGTAAGCTTTTAGCAGCTGCTCAAGCCACCTCCTGCTTGCTACCACCTCTCTTTCACAGATGCTGTCTGGAAACACAAAAAGTCCCTAATAAATTGTTTCTCCTATAAGTTGCTCTGATCATGGTATTTTATCATAGTAATAGAAATCTAACTAATAACAATGAAAGAGAGAGTTTAAGGGGAAGAAAGGAAAAAAGGAGAGGGGAAGGAAGAAGAGGGGAGGAGAGGGGACATGACTGGTCTTGGAGAAATCCAGTTCTCTATTTTCACTTTATAGGTTCAGGTAATTAGATTTGCAAGCATGTTAACCTCTGAGAAATCTCACTGGACCACAAATTCAAGATTTTGTGTAATATTTCCTTTCCACTGTCTGTATGCCTTACATTCAAGGAACACAAGGAACTTTTCTTTCATGACTTTTAGGCTTATAAACTGCTCTTTTTAACAGTTAAATATTCTCTTCTGTGACTCTTTTTATCCTGGAGGGGAGGGTCTGTGTAGCCCTGGCTGTCCTGGAACTTGATTTATAGACCAGGCTGGCCTCGAACTGGAGATCCACCTGCCTCTGCCTCCCCAGTGCGGGGATTAAAGACATGTGCCACCATTGCCTAGCCTCTTCTGTGATTCTTAACAACAGAATATGTTAATAATTAGAAGTGAAAATTCCATGAATGTGTTCCATCACAAGACTTTCCTCCACAGGCTTTGTTTTCAGTTACCAGAGGGTGACACGAATTTCTCCTCTGTGAAGAGAAATTTCACATATTTCCACACTGTGCTGGCTAATTTTATGTAAACTTGATGCAAGTTAAAGCCATCTAAGAGGAAGAAATTCAAATTGAGAAAATTCCTCATAAGCTCTGGCTGTAGGCAAGCCTGTAGAGCATTTTCTTAATTAGTGATTGATGGGGGAGTCCAGCCCATCTAGGGTGGTTTTTTCCCTGGGATGTTTATCCCAGCTTCTATATGAAAGCAGGCTGAGAAGAAAGCCACGAGGAGCAATCCAATAAACAGAACTGTTCTATACTCTCTTCTTCAGCTCCTGCCTCCAGGTTCCTGCCCTGCTTGAGTTCCTGCCCTGATTTCCTTTGATGATGAACTGATGTGGAAGTGTAAGTAAGCAAAACAAACCCTTTCCTCCAAGCCTTGCTTTTACTCATAATGTTTATCACGGCACTAGAAACCCTGACTAAGATGTGCAGTTTTCTTCGTTAGCCTCTGATTATAGAACCACTATTTAATCTACCACTTCTTCTACCTGTTGGGGGGCCTAATAATTTTTTTTTCTTAATCAGATACATTTTCAATGTTCAAGTACTTGTACTTTATAATTTAATTCTGGGACTGGCAAGTTGACTCAGCAGTTCTCCTACCTCCTGCCAATTTTGAGGAACTGAATCCAATTCCCATAACCTATAAACAGTTTAGTCCCACAAGTTGTCCTCAGCCCCATACACATGTACTTTGGCACATGTAAATCACACACACTCAAACAATCAATCAATAAACGGAATCTTACAATTATCTTTACCACTCTCCTTCAAGGATTCCTAGGGAGAGAAAGTAGCGCTTCAGCTGTTCAGTTTCTGCTGATCCTGCGTACTGAGTACAACCAGCTATAAAACAGGCCTGAGTGTTCCTCAAGCTATCTGACTAAGTTACTCAGGAAGACCTAGGTACATCGAGGTGAAAGGACAAGTGGGGGATAATGATCCCTTTTGCTACTTCCTTTTGTTACTTGTTTGTATCTTCAGGGCCTATCCCAGCCTGATCTCCGATATGCAACAAGTCTGTTCATCATCATAGGACTGCTGTACATGCCTTTCTTTATGAACTGAAACAAGTCAAGTATTTGTGGGTTCAGTATCATCCAGTTCAAAATGAACTTTTCAAGCCACATGGAAACTTGGTAGCCCAAAGTTAAGCATTTAATCTATACTTTTTACTTTATTTTGTTCATGTGTGTGCCATGCATATATGTGGGGGTGGCCAGAGAGGCCATAAGGAAGTGCAGGAAGTGTTGGGGCCTGCAGGGCAGGAGTTATGGATGTTCATGAACCTCTCAATATGGGATGAGGATGCTGGAATCTGAACTCTAGTTGTTTGATGAATCAGTTAGTACTCTTAATCTCTCTCTCCAGTCCTATGCATACCACCTGGTTTTTTGAGACAGATTTCTCTCACTGAACCCAGCACTTGCTGATTTGACTAGCCTGGATAGTAAGTTCCAAGATTGTGCTGTCTTTCCTTTCCATTTCTGGAATTACAGGTGCATGTTGTCTCCAGCTGTCTCTCATGAATTCTGAGGAATCAAACTCAAGTCTGCATACTTGTCAGGAAAGAAATTTATTAAATGAGCTCTCTCCCCAGACCCTGTACTGTCAATATTGATGGAAACAGTCATTAATGGTTTTTTAAAACTGATATAAAACAACTAAATTCAGAAAACCCAGTACTCATTCAGAGAATTTATCAATATTCCTGTAGAAACACTTTTTAAAATTTTGCATTATTATTATTATTATTACTACTACTACTACTACATATATGTGTAGCATTTGTGTTTGAATAGATGTGAGTATGCTTCAGCAAACATGCAGAGGCCAGAGGGCAACTTTGTGAAATTCATTATTTCTTCTACTTTCACATGTGTTTTGGTGATTGAATGCACTAGAAACACGCTTGTTGAGTTTTACTATTATTGTTATTATTATTAATTATTAGTATTGTTGTTATTATTGTATGTTTTTCTGGAGTTTGTGTGTGGATGAATGTGTGTATACCTCTGCACACATGTCTTTACATAGTTACCAGAGGTTAACTATGAAATTCATTCTTCTCTCCCATGTTTTTGGGGAGTGAATGTAGGGTATCAGGCCTGTGCCACAGGTCTTCTTCTCCACTGAGACATCTAGCTGTCCATTCCCTTAGAAACTCTAATTTGACATTTTATTTTTCTCTTTTAATTTGAAGATTATCATATAATTACATCATTTCCCCCTTCGCTTTTTTTCCTCCAAAGCCCTTTATATACACTCACTTGCTTTCTTTCTAATCTGTGGCCTCCTTTTTCCGTAATGGAAAAAGGACTAAATGAAAAACAGAACTAACCGATGTGAATGTAATCAGAGTCTTTCTGTGGAGATCAGCGTTGTGCCTGTCCATAAGTTACTCCATATTTTATGAAACCATGTTTTTCACACTGTCCCTTCCTCTTAATGAGTACATTTTACAAAACTGTAGTATGTTCCATTTTGGTGTAAATATTGAGGCAGAATGTGCCTACATCATGCTTTCACATGTAAACATCCACTCCCTGTGCATCCTGACCCACAAGGCACAGACTGATAAATAACTTCTTCATATACACAAAAAATGACCAGCAATAGACTTAATGTAAATCAAAAGCACATGGAAGGCATATTGCAAACATCTGAAAAATGAGGCCTGTGAAAATCAGAATTCTCTCGTGCCTCTGAAGGAGTGACCCAAGACTGTGATATGGCAAGCACGCTGACCAGTCACAAGGTCACTCATCACAAACCATCTCCATGAAAATTGACACAACTAAGGAGTTGCATCTTGTATTGGCTAGGTATCTGTTGCTTTGATAACACATGGACCAAAACCAACTTGGGGAAGAAAGGATTGGTTTGGTTTTTACTTCCTCATTATAGTCCATCTTGGAGGAACTCAAAGTAGGAACCTGGAAGCAGGACATAGAGCACAGACCACAAAAGAACATTTCTTACTGGCTTGCTCATCACGGCTTGCTCAGCTTGCTTTCTTATAGAACCCTGGAGGAACTGCCTGGACATGGCACAGTGCAGAGTGGCCTGGTTCCTCCCACATCAATCATTAATCAAGAAAATACTCCCACAGACTTGCCAACAGGTTAATCTGATGGAGTAATTTTCTCAATTGAGGGTCCCTCTGCACAGATGATTCAGTTTGTGTTAAATTGGAAAAAAATAATCAGCACACTGCTGTTCCCTGGACTTCAACCCTCACCCTTTCTACTGTCTGTGGTACGCATCCCATTTAAAACTGGCTGATTGTTGAGCTTCCTACAGGACTTTTTTAATTAGTACCTTTGTACCTTAGAGCAGCTTTATACCTACCTTGCAGTTTATACAGCTTCTTATCCGGTCTCCTGTAGGGCTTTTGCTTACATTTGTAGCAGCTCTCTGCCTTCAGTGAAGTCCTTCTAAACTCCGTCCCATGCAGTTTTTTTAACCCTTTCTTATCCATTTTGCAAACGTGCTCTGTATGTGTGTCTCACACACACATGCATAATATAATACTGTGTTCAGTTTAATATGTAATCTAAAAGTTAATATTTATACTCATGATCAGAATAAAGTTGCCTGTTATTGCTAGTGGCCACGATCATATGAAATTCAGATTATTTATATAAATATGTCCCTCTATATCCCTGATGTAGAATACTCATTGCTTATGCAAATCTCAACTCTTTTGATTTTTTTAAAACTGACTCTTAAATACATAGATTTAAAATAGAAGACAAAACTGGGTGTATTACCAAGGCAACAGAAACCTAATACAATATACAATTCCTTAGCTGTGGTAATTTTCGTGGAGATAGTTTGGATAAAGGCTTATCCATCATCTTGATTTTCTCAGCAAACCAACTCTTTGTTTCATTGATTCTTTGTATTGTTCTCTTTGTTTCCATTTTATTGATTTCAACCCTCAGTTTGATTATTTCTCTACTCCTCTTGCCTGAACTTGCTTCTTTTTTTAAAGATTTTAGGTGTGTTGTTAAGTTGCTAGTATGAGGTCTCTCTAAGTTCTTTAAGTAGGCACTTAATACTATGAACTTTCCTCTTAGCACCATTTTCTTGTGTCCCATAAGTTTGGGTATGTTGTGCATTCATTTTCATTCACATTTCTTTGGAGGATGTAACCATTTGTGGGGATGGTCCCAAACTCGTGTGTGCATGGGTCAGCATTAACTAGACACAGGGAGTTGATGAAAACAAAGATATTGATGTTATTGGTGATGATGTATACAAAGAACAGAGGGAGATGGGTTGGAAGGTCTTAGATGTGTTGGAGGAGTTAATGAGGAATAGTATGATTAAAAAATATATTGTGTGTATGCATAAAAATTTCAAAACATTAACAAAAATGTTATTTTAAACATTACAAAAATTTTAAGTAAACAGTTTATAATACTTGATCATATAGGATTTTTTCATCATATAGGATATTGTTAGGTCAAGTTATATTTTCTTCTTTGTTAATATTGTTTGAAAATGTCCATTTTCCTCACTCCAACTACTATGTATCACTAGCAAAAATTTGAGATTATTTACTTAAATAGAAAGAAAAAAAGCCCTGACTTAATAAATTACAAGGAGATACTGGGTTTACTCATCCAGCCTTAATAGAGGAGGAGGTGCCTAGTCTCACTGCAACTTGATATAACATGGTTGGTTGATATCCATGGGAGGCCTACCCTTTTCTGAAGAGAAACTGAGGAGAAGGATTGCATGAGGAGGGGACGAGGTGATATTTTATTTTCTAATGGTATCCTGCCCTATAATAAATTGGTGGTGGCAAAAAATCTTGCTTTAGTTTTCTTGTTTAGCTAACACCCATATAATTCTTGACTTTGGAGGATAAAGTATAAAAATATGGAAGTCAGTCTAGCCATGAAGCAGCAAGCTTTCATCTCAGTGTTAGGAGTCAGAAGCAAAGGGAACTCTGAGTTCAAGGTCAGCCTATTCTACAGAACAAGTTCCAGGCCAGGCCAATCTATTAAGGGAAACCCTGCCTTAAAAAAACAAAACAAAACAGACAAAAAAAACCAGCAGTAAGTCATATAGAGAACTTGCTGCCAAGCATCCTGACAGTTGTGCCAGAGAAATCCCAACTGTACTGTGGTTTTACTGATGATCGTATGATTAGAAATCAAGACTTGAAAGGCAGCTTGAGATGCAAGAGGACAAGTGTATCTTGTCAGCATATTTTAACGTTCTGCAAAGCTGGCAGAAGCTGCAGAAGGACTGATTGGCAGGAGCATAGCAGGCTTCATCGTGTTTACCCTCCTCGCAGTATTGAATGATCTGAGACATGAGAGTACTTATCTGCTCAGTCCTACATTGCAGCACTTTCAGGCACACATGACTAGCTTCTGAAAGTGCTGCCATGGAAAGGGAGCAGGGTGAGTAAGCCCAGGCATTAAGACAGCTGCCCTCCTGCTATGACATATAGGTTGTAGGGGGCTGTACACCTCTGACGTGGTAGAATGGCAGTTGTTCTTCACTAGTCTGCCATAGAAACTACTTTTTGTCTTTCCCTCCCCAGTTTCCACAGACATCACTTAATGTGTTTCTTAGAGCTACCTCCCAACAATGACTAAGTGGAGAATGGGAGCTGAGTGAAGTGGAGACAATGGTTTTGTTTCTCCTGTCTGTAAGCAATGGAAGATGCCCCCATGTAATTCTTTAATCCGCACCATCAAACTGAATTGGTAAACTTTGTGACAGGATACATCCAAACTAGGACTCTATGTACAGTTTGGAACAGCCACCATTGCTGATAGAAAATTTAAATATGCTTTCAAAGCCATCTTTTCATTTTTATAAATAATCCCCTTCCCTGATTGTATAGTGCACTGTACTGATTTTCCAATTTCAAAGCACATTCAGTAACTCCTTATACAGTTTCCCTTCCCATATAGTCTTTGATCTCTGGGCTTAGATAATGTTAGGCCAATAATATATTTACATTTGTTGGAAAAAATGGAATGTATGCATTCTTAACAGGCAGAAGCTATTTTTTTCATTTGTTGTTTACATTTTCAGTATGGATCTAATTTGTGAAGGTTTTGAAGTGAATAGGAGAGCTGGAGAGATAGTTCAGCTGTTAAGAGCAGCAACTGCTCTGCCAGAGTGCTGGAGATTGGTTCTAAGCACCCATATCAGGCACCTTATAACTGCCTGTAACCCCAGCTCTTTGGGGTTATTCAATACCTCTGGACTCCTTTGACACCTCTATACACATGTGTACAAACACAAATGCACACATGAACAGTAAAAGAAATACACACATACACATGATTAAAAACAATAAAATCTAGCCAATCATAGTGGCATATGCCTTTAATCCCAGCATTTGGCAGACAAAAGCTGGTGAATTACTGTCAGTTCAAGTAAGCCTTGGTTGACAAAGTGAATTTCCAGGCCAGCCAGGGCTTCACTGAAAGACCGTCTCAATAACAGATAAATAAACAAAATCTATATCCTAGAAAGTATTTTTAAAAACATGAGTGTCTTAGTTTGGGTTACTATTGCCATGGTGAAGCATGATGACCAAAGTGACTTGGGGAGGAAAGGGTTTGTTTGGCTTATAATTTCATATTGCTGTTCATCACTGAAGGAAGTCAGGACAGGAACTCAAACAGGGCAGGAATCTGGATGCAGGAGCTAATGCAGATGTCATTGAGGAGTGCTGCTTACTGACTTGCCCCTTGTAGCTTTTTCATAGAACCCAGGAAAACAATCTTAGGGATGGCACCACCTACAATAGGCTAGGCCCATCAATCACTAATTTTGAAAATTGCCCTATAGGCTT